TTTACTCTGGTTGTTCCGGATGGTTCACATAGAACAACGGATGGAGCAATAGATGCTCCGGACTCCTGTGTACCTAGTAAGTGTAACGACTCTAGATTCTATGTGTACACTAAAGAAGTCATAGACTGGGGCAGAAGTCTACTTGTTTTAATATTTTGTTCTTGTGAGTGAGGAACATATAGATTATATGCTATATCCCTTTGAGTATGTGAAACTAACACCTGTTGGGAGGTGTTAGATTGGCTGGGAGAGGTGTGCAAATGCACTGGTGGACGGGCTATGTCATCTGCAATGTTGACATTCAACGAATGAATGCCAACAGCAGATGTGGGAACCCGACTTCTTGTATAAGTTTGGGTAGGAACTTGTACTTCTTTTTCTATTCCTCTATCACACTCACTATCTTTTTGCACTTCCCTATCATTCATACTCTCAAAATTTTCAACTTGATAACCCTCATCCGACCTTATAGCATCCAAAATTCGATTAATTTCAGCATCATATTCAAAAGGTGGAAGATCTTCAATGAAATCAAATTATGTTGCGGGAATGTGTTGTAAATTTAACAATTCAGCACTTTGATCATCATATTAGCACCTTCATCATTATCATCATCATTATCACTGAAAAAGATCCCTGAAAAGAGTAATAGAGACACATGTCTATGAGTTCCAGTAAGCTCTTACATTCACTGACAATCCTCAGTCAGTGAACATGCTTTCAGTTTCAGTTTCCTTCTTAAACTTGTAACTTGAGAAAACTTATATAGTATAAAACTGTATCACTGAAAAAGATCCCAAAATAGTTAAAAGGGACATATACTTTACGTGTAAGTTTTCCTTACTATTATACCTTAAGGCAATTTTCTTTATGTTGTTTTGTCATCATCAAATAGGGGGAGATTGTTGATCCTCTCTCTCATTGATTTGATGATAATCCCTTTTACCTATCGAAGTATTATGTTTATGTCTATTCAGTTCCACCAATCATCACTGAGTCTGTTMAGTGATYGCTGAAACATGTATTGTAATCCTACAGGAAAGCTATACTTCAATAAGACAAACCTCACACCCAAGAACCTTCAGTGAATGTCGTAGATTGAAATTGAAGATTAGTGACTGGTGCGTTCATGTTCTGAAGTGGTATTCAGTGATTATAACCTGGTCAACATATGTGTGAAGACTGCACAAGCCTCGGTGAATGCTGAAGAAACCTCCAGCATTATTCCAGCATTCAGTGATCAAATGAAGCTTTGCCATGCACGATTGTTCTTGTTTCGTCCTTCCGCACAAAAAGTACAAACTCATACCCTCTCAAGAGTATTGTACTGCACGGAGTCGTTTGGTCGACTCTAGTGCCCACCAACTCCATGAAAGGATGCATGCTCATAAATAAACAATAGTACTATTCACTGTAGCAAAGGACAAGCTTTCTTCTAAAAGTTTGACACGTGTTCTGCCTCTTCTGAATTGCATTTAATGAAATGGGTATAAATAGTTGAGTGCTCTCTTTACTCACGCACACACACAAAAACGCTATCTTACAAGCAAGTTAGATTTTCTCTCTAAAATTCTAAGACACATACCCAAGAAGAACACATCTCTACCTTATTTCTTTCGGAAAATCTCTCATATTTGCTAAGTGTATCTGTGTGTATTTCTAGTTTGTTTTAGATAGGTTTTCTTTACCTTTTCTATTTCGCAAACAATCTGTAAAAATTTGTATTGATCCTTTTTTATCAATCTATATTTTTAAAAGTGAAAGTTACTGTGTTTGTATTCATCCCCCCCTTTCTACAAACTGATCACCTCTATACTCTTGTAGATCTGGCTGGGACCAACAATAGGGTCTATAACTTACCTATATTCTGTCACATAATGAGAACTCTGATCGGCATATGCTAACAATTCATCAGGAATATTCATTATAGAACCCACATCTTCAACTTCTGTGTGAGGTCGAAGAAATTGCATCTCATAGTCTGGTCCAAAAAGACTGTCCAGCCTAGAGGGAATAGCTTTGTTTGACTACATCATTGCTCGTATGATTAGTTGAAGAAACCTTTGATAAGGAATGAATTTTCGATCTTTTGAGGCGAACTTTATCGCATGAACTAAATCTGCCAACTCGTTCCAGATCACCATTGTATAATCATAGTGTCAATTGAATACTATGTCGTGAAAGAACTTGAGAAAGGAATTGTTGCAAGTGTCTACGCCGATAGTTTTTGATGTGAGACATCTATTTGGGTGTTTTTCCACTTATTCTTTTGGTGCTTTGGATATAGATAGAGTTTTATCTATATATATCTGGTGTTTTGAAGTGTGAGTCTTACACACATCCTGAGTGAGTTTGGGATATTGGTTGTCATTCTAAAACGGGTACTTGATTTGGAAATAATGAGCTAAGGTGTTCCTTTTTGTGATTTAAATAAAAGAGTTGTTATTTAAAAAAAAATCGATTTAACCGTTTTTAGGTTTATCTAATGAACTACTTTTAACTCATTGCGACTTAGGCCTAACATTTTTTCAACATGTATATGAGGTCTTAGTGAGATCTGAGTGGCGTTTCGAGCTTTGTAGAGGTTCTAGTAAGATGACTTTAAAAGTGTAATCAGGTTTTAAAGATAACAGACTTGATGGTTTATTAACCCTGACCTATTCTAACGTTGTTGAAGATTAGATTGTCTTTGTTTTGAACTTTGATTCTTATCTTGTTCTCCTTCTTATGTAATATTAAGTATTTTATTATTAAAGTTGTTTTATTTTGAAGGAGTTAGGAAGTCCTAAATCGTTTGCTATTTTATAATTTTAGGAGTGTTATAGGATTCAATACAAACACATAGATTTTCAAACTTTTAGGGGGCGTTTGGTTCGTAGAATGAAATTCGATGGAATTAGAATTTATCAAATGAATTTGACTTTGAGGGAATGAAATGGAATTTGACCATGCCTTGTGATTGCGTTTGATAGCATGGAATTGGATTAGGGAAGGAATCTGTAAGAAATGAATTGAAATCCTATTATATTGCTATGAAATTGTAAAATTTGTACGTGAAAGAATCGACTGGAATTGAAATGATTCCATAGTTTTATTCCATGAACCAAACACTCTATCTAGAATTTGGTCAAAGGATTGGACATTCCAATTCCTTTCAATTCCCATGATCCAAACAGCCCCTTAGACTTATTGATCAATATGAGTTTAATAAAAGAATTACATATTGTTTACCATTGATAGGAACAACGATATTGCTTAGTAATGTTATCGTGAAATCCTATGTCCTACTTTGTGTTAGTGAAGTTGGATATATCATGAGAAATAGGTCGGGAAGCTCTTGAATCAAGAAATAGTCCTTTGAGGAAATCTGTAGTAATGAAAAAGATGAATAAAAACACATATACCTTCTGGATCAATCATTAGTTCGATATAGTTAGTTACTACATTGACTGAATATGACTAATCTGAGATTACTTTCATCAAATGTTGGTGTAGATTCAATGACATCCCTTTGAGAAGCATATCTAACTTGCTTCTAGAATTTCCTTGTTCATCATAACATTTATATCTTGACTTGTATCCTATTCTATATCCGTGAAGCTTACAATATTTCCCGTAGCATGGCCTTCAATCTGCAATAACTGCAAAACATACCCTAGAGTTACAACTTTGGTTTCGTTGTTAAAAAAGTTTCTAGCACTCAATGCCGTAGAAGTCTGATAATCCGTACTTGTGATACTCCTTTGATGCTTTTCTCGTATCACAAAGAAAAAGACTGTTAATAGGAGGTAACGTTTTCACTAATATAATCCGAGCATGAATTTGAGAAGAAAACGAAACTCATCGAGTCCCATGGCCAAGCTAAAAGTTTGTTTTGTTCCTTATGAAAGTAATTATCGATTTCCTTGACATTGTATCACATTTGTCGTAGGAATAATGAGATCATGGTATGATCACTGTTGTTTGGCTTTTTCAGATATCTATCCACGAATCCAATTTTAGTTTTAGCATGGCAATTCACATGGCCCTGCATCACAAAGATAGTTAACTGATGTCAAAATATGTGAAACAAGAACCAAACCAGGATTATCAGCATGATGGAGGAAATATGGATGCATTTGGTCATCAATGGCCATAAACGGTGAATTCAACGATGCTTTAGTTGCAACACTATGTGGTTCGCCATGATTGAATCAATAAGAGAGAAAACACCTTATTTCATTAGCTTACTCGATCAAACACAACCGCACTGCATTGTTTCTTTTCTAATCGGGGAAGTAGGGGAGCCCAAACCACTTTGTCCATCGCTCTCTCTTCTCTCGGACCTTCCTTTTATATGATCTATGAACATTTGCATTCAGGCTGCCTACACCCTTTCCATTGTTGAATCAATTAAGCATAAGAAAATACGTTGAAATCATAAAGAATCAAAAGAAGCACAACTATATGGTGCTCTAATACCATTTTATAATCCTCTAAGAGGATTAGTAAACAATGGTAAACAGAAACTAAACCCCTACAGTTAATTAATAACACCCGATAATATTATAAAAATAAATACATACAAGTATGTGGCAAAAATGATTTAATATGTGAGATCGAGGGTCAACGTTAATATCGAAGTTTTTAGGTATATGGCGACTTTGTGTTTTACTTGACATTTGCATCAACCAACAACTAGATCACCAATTACATGTATGGAAATGAACTTGAAGGCCGGCCTTTGCTGACCACCGACCACCTCAAGACTTTATCAGAAAGGTCAACCATCCTCTCTTCATATATAAAACCCCACCTTCATCTTCTTCATTTCTACCTTCATCTTCTCTCTCTCTCTATACATATATAAGCAGAAAGGTCAACCATCCTCTCTTTCTTCATATATACAACCCCACCTTCATCTTCTTCATTTCTACCTTCTTCTTCTCTCTCTCTCTCTCTCTATATATATATATATATATACATATATATATCTAAGGTCACACACACAGACACAAACCATGGGGAATTCGATGGCTGCTTGTTGCATAACAAGTGAAGGATCATCCGTGGAGGTAATTTTCTGGGAAGGAAACAAAAGAATCTTAACAGGAAAACGATGGTTAGCCGGAGAGATCATGTTTGAGTTTCCAAATTGCATGGTGTGTGACGCAGGCTGCTTCTTCATTGGCCATCCCATCCCGGCGTTAGCCATTGATGACCAGCTCAAGCCTGGTCAGACCTACTTTGTTCTCCCACTCGACATGTTCTCTTCCAAGACCCTCGCAGCTTCTTCGATATCAGCCTTGGCCGCTTATACGCCTAACCGCAGTCCAGTTAACTTCAAAGAGTGTCTTTTTGAGTATATAAAGGGATCCAATGGGAGGGTTTTGATCAAGGTGACTCCTGAGTTTATGGCTAGAATTCTTACCAGAACAGATGGGAATGATGATCAAAAAAATCAAAGTACAAATGGGTTCTTGTGTAGTACCCCTGAGTTGAAAAAACAGTACGAACAGTTGGTTGGATCCAAAGATCAAAATTGGTCACCTAAGCTTGAGACCATTTCAGAGCATAACAAGATGAGGTCTTCTCCTTATAGATTTATAGGGTTAAGGTTGGAATCAAGAAAGCGAGAAGACGGTGCCTAATAATCAGTAAAAAATGATTATTGCAATTAATGTTTATTTATATCATCTTTTCTCACAATTATAGTTAAGCTAGTGGATTTACGCTCGAATTTTGGTGTAACGAAATTTGAATGATAACATGTATAAAGAAGAATAACCCATTAACTACTAATTAATATTATAAGCACACTCGCACAATGCACCGAGATATATCTTCATTTTAATGTTTCGTTTTATTTTTTGTCTCTGTTGATATAATACAATTTATGTGGTTTTGAGAAAAATAATGTTTTTACGATTTAGTGAAGTAATTAATTTTGGCTTAACAATAAAAATTTATAAAGATAATGATTCTATTAGAACTCAATGATTATCTTAATTATATTTTAATTTTTATATTTAAAATGAAATGTTTATCTTGTATTTGATTATGTTTATATGCAGTTAGTTATACGAATTCCAAAATGGAGCTTTAATAATATGTACAATTTACTTGTAATCTTAAATTTTAAGTAATATGCATTAATACACAGTACTTCATGCATAAAAAATGTTTTTAAGAGCTATTGTCAAATGTTTTATAATATAGTATAGATATTGTTATGTCAAAATAAAAACATTTTTTATGGATGATCTAATTAATCGGAATGAGAAAATTTGTTTAGTGTATAAAACAAACCAAATTACGTAGACGTAGTATATCTATCGTATACAAAAATAAAAGTTTCAGGGAAGGCTTTCTTCTAATATGTGTCATCATGCCATCATTGGATGTCCAAGCTATCGTCGTTCGCTAGACTGCATTTAATTTCTCGCATCTGAATCCAACAATTTCAGTATAGAGTTTGACGCTCATGTTATGTTCACAACATCCTTGATTATCATTGTGCAAGATTCACCTAAAATCAAACACTCTCCCTCGAGTATCTATTATGCTTGATGCAGAGATAGACCTAGGAATTTTTCCATACAGTTGTACTTTCTACGACGGTTACATCTTTTAAAACAATATAGTTACATCTTTCAAAAACCTAAATTATTATAGCTTACGACAACAGGACAATACAGTGGCACGTGCCACCGTAGCCACTTAACTGGGTTCGTCCTTGGCTTGATGAGGTTTGCTCTACCATTCTTATCGTATAAGGTTCAACTTTTATACCATTTTGTAAAGTTTGAAGTTTAAACCAATAACCTCCAAAACAACTTATATTAGGACCAAAATTATTGATAAGCCTTAAATCTATAACTTAGAACAAATTATCCCTTTTCATTTTCATCAATGCAAGACAACTAGTCACATTTTCCCTATTAAAATTGTAGTATGTTGATTTTATTAATATGAAAATTGATGGGTCATTTTGACCAAAATTTATATAGCAACTCTAACAATTTTGAATTTTTGGTGCTTCCTGTTATCTTTGCTTATTACGTGTTATATTTCACGATGTATGGTAAATTGCATAGAAAAATGTTGTTTTCAGTTAATGGTCATATGTTCATTTGAATAGTATTCACATACATTTTAGGGTTTTCTTATTCCCATAGCCCACCACCACACGACTCTTCTTCTATGCACTTTATCACATGTTTCTCAAGCATCAAACCATTGAATGATTCTTCAGTTTCTTATTTTTAGATGAAATTACACTAACCGTCCCTATGCTTTTATACAAAATCTATTAAATGTCACTTCGGTTTTGAATTAATACCGGTCATCATCTTTGTTTATATTTGCTTAACCCACTCAATATGATGTCGGTTAAAGACAATTCACAACTGTTTCACAGTTGTTGAATGGTTTGGTGCAGAATGATTAAGTGGTCAGAATGATTAAGAGGCTCTCATGATATAGTGCAAAATGAAATATAATTGTTTGGTGATTGTTTACAATGAAATTAGGGCGCTGAATGGTTAAGGGAGACCCATGATGTAAAATTATTCAGATGATTTTAGAACTATTAAGAGGCAGATTTTTTTTTTACAAACAAGATTCACCTTTTAACGATTCAGATGTTGTCTTTTAATGAAACTATTAAGAGGTAAACAAACAACCCCTATCACGTGCTAGCATGTGAAGGGTGTTTACTTTTTTTGATTTTATTAATAATTTTTTAAATACAGTAATTTAATGCATATGTACAATGTGGTATTAAAAAAAACTAACCTCGAGACACATAGACACATATTCTCTTCTGATGTCACTCACGCACAACTGTGCAAGCGACAAGTTTTTTTTTGGCAAGTATTATCGACGGCCAAATTCCATCACTAAGCTTTGTGGTGAAACAACCACAAACACAATTCTCCGTATATTCGTCGCTAATCAACTAAGAACATATGGTCATGGCTAATTAACGACGGATTAACGACAAATGCATGAACTTCTATTTAATAAAATGAAAAATGAAAATCCACGTGTCCATCACTAATTAGCGACAAACATGTGGATTTTGTCGTTAATCACTCGCTACTTAGCGTCGGAATTATTTATATTTATTGTTTTCTCATGTATATGTGTTCTATGTACACATTTGTATGTGTATGTGTATGTGTATGTGTATGTGTATGTGTATGTGTTATATGTATCTTTGGTCCATGTTACATACACACATGTGTATATGTGTTATATGTACAGATATGTATACATATGTTATAGTATATGTATGCATTATGGGGATGCATATGTATAAGTTTGTATGTGCCTATTTATATATGCATGTATGTTTGTTTATAAGTATATGTGCATGTATACATGTATATATGATATATCATAATGGATACATGTATTATATTATATATATATATATATACATATATATATATATGAATGAATGCATATGATATATTGTTGGTTCCTTTAGGGTTTACAAGAAGAGTAAAACAGTTTGTAGAAGGGGGGTGAATACAAACACAATATTTTCAAATTTAAAATATATATTGATAAAGAAGATCAATACATATTTTACAAGATTGTTTGCAGAAAGATAAGGTAATAAAAACCTATCTAAACAATATTTAGTTACACACTAAATCTTAGCAAATACAAGAGAAGAAATGTTGTAGAGAAGATCCTTTACTAAAGCTCGAAAATGCTTGAATTAAAAATTAGGGTTAGAGAGTGAGTTGCGCGCACTCTGCATGGAGAAGAAACATTTCTATTTATATCAAGTGCATTAAATGAACAGTTAATGCAATATGGTAGGTTTAGAGTGCGTGTCAAGCCTTAAGAGGAAGGCTTGTCCTTTGCTACAGTAAATAGTACAAAAAGCACTATTCATTAGCAGACATCCTTACATAAAGTTGGTAGACAATAGAGTCGACTAGTCGGCTCCGTACCGTACCAACCTTCGTAAGGGTATGGGTTTTGTCCTTTGTGTGCATAAGGACTAGACAATAACAATCGAGCTAGGTAAGCTTCCTTTGATCGTTGAATGCTGGAATGACCTGAAGGTCTCTTCATCATTCGCTGAAGCTTGAGCAGTCTTCACACATATGTAGACAGGCTTGTAATCACTGAGTGCCGCTTCAGATCACATACTCGCTAGTCTCTAATCTTCAGTTTCAGTCTTTGACGTTTGCTGAAGTTTCCTTGGTGTGAGTGTTATCTTCTTGAAGTATCGCTGTCTCTGATGAATTTACAATGCAAGTTCTTCAACGATCACTTAACATGCTCAGTGAAGATCGCTGGAACTGAAAAGACAGAAACATAAATACAACGTGTAAGTGAAAATGGATTATCATCAAATCACTGAGAGGATCAACAATCTCCCCCTATTTGATGATAACAAGATAACATAAAGAAAGTTATCTTATCAAATAATAGTAAGGAAAAGTTACATATAAAGTACATGTCCCTTTTTACTATTTTGGGATCTTTTTCAGTTAGTCAGTCTCAGCTTGAGAATTTTTCTTAAGTTATATCTAAGAAGAATTACAAGTACGGAAACTGAAACTGAAAGTTTATTCACTGACTTATAGATTGTCAGTGAATGTAAAAAGTAACACTGGAACTCATAGACTTGTGTCCCTATTACTTTTTTCAGTGATCTTTTTCAGTGAAGTACATGGAATACTCATTTTATTAATCATTGAAAATATTACAAGTATTACAGTACATGTCTAGTGCTTATAGATTATAAGTACAATCACTGAAAGTAGACATAGTATAAGAAGTTACAAGGAAAAGTGGATTGTTGTTACAAAGATAAACTATTCTAGAACTCTTAGATCTATGTAACCAGGTACATTTTCACCAAGTTTTCTTCAACATAGGAATTCCCTTCGTATCTTCAGATCTACGACTTTTCCAGGCATGCTATCATCTATCCAGAGCAAGAGGTAAACCAGATGATCCATTGGACATAGATGTAGCTTTGATATTCTCTGAAATCTGACTTCACCTTCATAGTCAAGGAATATAACTCCTAACTCAGGTTTAAAATGTACAAAGTTGGGTGTATATGGACCCTTATCTGGCAAGTCAAGATTCAGCATAGAAATATCTGTACTCTGATGACCCTTCAGGACTTCACCTAAAGAGAACCTTGTTTCATGTCCGTTCCTTATGAATGGTCCATCATTAGGATCAGAGAGCTTGAGTTTCTTCTTCCCACCTTTCTTAAGAGATAGCCTGTCAGGGACCTTGACATACCTGGACATCCTTTTGATGAGCTCGCTGATGGTGTCCTCGATAAGTGTCTTGTGTCTCGACTTGGATTGCTGAATGGCTTGTCTGATCTCCATCCATTCGTTGTATCCATAACGGTCAAGCTAGGAAGGATACTCGGTAACGACATCAAGATTGTCCTGGGTGATGAGCATTGAGACCAGTGTTCCACCATCTTGAGAACGTCCGCTGATGCTGACGTTGATAATCGGGCCGGGACTGACTCTCTTTTTCAGCTTTGCTTCACTCCATCGCTTGTACTTTTCCACCAGCTTCAGGTTCTTCTCATGCTCAACTTCTGCAATAGAAAGAATTTTAGCCTGGGCTTGGACAACGTTCACCATTTTCTTGG